ACTCTTTGGCATTTATAAATATGGTGGTAACACACAGATATTCTTCCTAGCATCAGAAATGTCTTGCAGTTTGAGAAGTATTAATGGAGCCACAAAAAGCAGATCAGTATCCTGCTTTCTTTATTTTTTGTTAAATATGCACTGGATCTGAACTTCTAGTCACCCAGTGCTGATTTAGACCTATGTCTCCCGTCATTGCTCTGAAAATAAGGGCAGGCCGATATACTTAAAATGTGTTTATGTTTTTAAAAGTTCTAATGTATGACTGAAATAAAAGATTAAATCAAGCTCTCCAGGGTATTTTAGTTAATGAGAACTGGATCAGAAGTATTCCTTTTCTCTGGAGCCACCTGTGCGAATCACAGTGAGATAAACTCAGCTTAGATAATTTGCCTTCTGTTGTTGCAAGGAGTTTTTCTTTGAGAAAACTTAAAGTCTGTTCATAAGTATTAGCTTATAAATAAGGCAACATAGAAGCATGAAGTACTGGTTTTTGATTGTTTGTTTGTTTGTTTTGTGATATGAGTAACTTAAAGAAGAAAAGTTTAAATGTTGGGCATATAAAATAACCAGTTACAGCTTACAGTATATGTGGTCGCAACTTCCTTTCCCTAAAGGAAAATTAATACCCTCCTTAATATTTAGTATTTGAAAATAAGTTTCTGAAAATCATGACCTAAAAAAATACCCTTATTCTGCTACAGCAGTAGATCATAATATTGCATGAATGTTCTCAAGTACGGCTGGTTATGGTGGGTTTTTTTGGCTCCTTTTCCTTCAGTGTTGCTGTCCTTAATGTCAATTTGAAATTATTTAGTAAATAAGTAAAATTCACCTGACTGTCATTTCAAATGGTGTCTTTTTGGCTTTGCTTATTTAAGAAAGCTTACATCAGTTTTGACTTTCTCATACACGGATGCTGGTGTCACCTGATGCAGAAGTCATATTTAGTGATCTGTTATTGTGCTCTCTGCAGCCTTGTTGAAAAACATATGGTGATGCTCTCTTCTCATGCTATGGAATCTAAAGTGATAAGAACGTGAAATTTGTGGGTGTTATATGTAAGTTATTTGAATTCCATTACCACAGGTGTAGCGAATGATTTAAGTTCCTTCTTAGTAACTGCTTATATGTGTACTTTGTTTAGCTTTCCTGCTATGGCCCTGTATTTCAGCTGTTGCAGTTTAAACATCATTTTGCCTTACAGAATCTTCAAGTGTTTTAGTTCCATTATGCTTATAAAAATGGCTTGTAAAATCCTGTCTTTTGACTCAGGCAAGCTACTATAGGGTTTCACTAGTGTTAAGCATCTGTTTGTCTACGTGGGTGATTACATTTCATAGTTAAAATCTGCCTTCCTGTATTCTTTAGGATTTTTTTCATTAAAAATTTACTTTCTATGTGAGAATGATATCAGTATCATCTAAGATCAGGTTTATGAGACCCTTTCTGTCTTATTTTCTTTCTTCTTATTGTCCCTTGGCCCACGAACCTGGAGCTGGTTGCTGGAGGTCTTTAAATGTCTTCTCAGTGTACTTCTCTGTGTAAAATCTTTGATTTTAGCAAAACCAACTTAAAAAACTGGAATTCATTCTCTGAGTACTCTGTGGTAGATAGTTGGGTAAATTATGTTGGGGATATCTGGGGAAGCTCTTCCCCTCCACTTTCTTCTGCTGCCATTTAGGTTTTAGTTCCAAGTTTCTATGTTGACTTTTAAACAACGGGCTGTAAAAATCTGTATGGAACATGGCTTGTCGTGCCGGTGGGAAGCTTCAGCCTCTACTGCCATATCTCTAGCGTCCATCTCCTACACTGTAGGCCAACATGATTAAATAGGAGGTGTTACTTTTAGAGCAGTCATTGTAGATCAGTCTGTACTTGGACATATTTTGCTGGACCAAGTCTCTGTGATTGGCATGCAGTTTTCATCTGTGACTGGCCTGTGTGTGGTGGAACCTGCAGTAGAAGTATCTCCAGAGTGGGGGCTGTGGCTGGAGGTGGCTCAGAGCCATGGAGAGCCTTTTGGAGTAGAACAACACACCTCTGTTCTAATGCGGCTGCTACAGGGAGGCTGAGCTATTCAGTAATTAAAGGAAGCTGAGTGGGTGTCCTAACAAAAGCCACACAGAAAGTGGGGACAAAAGGATAATATCTGATATAAAAGAATAGAGAGTTATTGGAGGAAATGCCACTTGTAAGGTCAAGGGGTTATGGCATGCTAATAATCAACAGCTAAACATTGGAAGAACTGACCATGAAATAGTTACATATATATTACAAAGCGGGCAGGGCGTTTACTGGGGAGGAAAACAACGCTTCTCTCTCGAGTATTGAGTAGGTGCAAAGATTCTGTGAGTTGTTGTTGTTGTTTGTTTTTTTTCTGAAGGCTTGGCCTTTTTTAAAAGCATATTTAGACCCCACGTTACTAATTTGAAATATTTGAATGGCATTTCGTTAGAGTTAATTATGAGAAAACAGACAAATTTAAGTCCTTTACAATAAGGCCTTCATGTCGTTTTAATAACTACAGACTTCTTATGACAGTAGCTGTATTTTTAGATTGCTTACTTCTTGAAGTAAAAGAGCCTTTGTTTAATAAAAATAAAGTTGTTTTTTTTTTTTCTGGAGTAATTGTATGTATATATAACTATATATAAATAAAATGATCTTGCATATTAAAGAAAATCGCTCACTGAGGTTGATAGTTTCTTATACCGCCATGCTTTGTTGGCCAATTTATGACTTACTGATAGTTGCATTAAAAGCAAAAACAGAAAATCCGATTAACAGTTGTACAATCAATAGGTGTACAATCAATAAATGTACGAAGGTTAGGCGAAGTAGGATTATCGTGGTGGAAAGATAACATGAAAAATGCTCTCAATGTTGTAGGCTCACTATAAACTCCACAAGGAGTGATCTCCAGAAAGAGATCTTTCCTCAGTGGTAGTCAACACTTATATGGGATCTAGGGATCTGAAGTCACTGTAGCCTGAAGTCACTGTAAAGGTGTAAGCCAATAAGCAGCAACTGAATAAACAATTTCTGGCTTAAATACAGTCATGACTTGCAGCCATAAATAGAAAAAGCAAGCAGAAAAAAACCCTAAAAAAACAACCCACAAGAAGTGTAGACCTGTGCTCTCACGGCTGACTCATTGCTTGCCTCAGGTGATCAATCGGAGGTTCAAGCTGTGATCAACAGTTCCCATACAACAGTGTAATCCTAATCCTTAATGTTTTTATTAAACAAAATTAAACAAAGAGCTAATACATTCAAAAAATACTTTAAACACAGTACATTTTAAAGCCATATGTCATTCTCCTTTGGTAATGTGTTATATAAATTCTGAAAGAAAAGTTGTTGCCAGCTTTGTCTGGGATTTTGACTTGCAGCTTTCACAGTCTGGTTTATTCATGGCCTTGCTACTGTAGGAAGTAATTTTGAGCATTTCAATTTATTCATCTTTTAGTGAAAAAAAACAACATCACAGATCAGGGCTCTTTACTGTAGTGATGCCAAGATCAGATACAGTAAGCAGTCAAATTTTGGTGGCCTGGAGCTGTAAAGCAGTTTAAATGAGGCAACATAAACCTGCTAATTCAAATAGCTTGCCGTACTTGAATTAGTTCATTGCTTATAAATCAGGTGTCTGCTGTATTTTTTATGGAGTGTAAAGTTAGAATCATAGAATGGGCTGGGTTTAAAAGGACCACAGTGATCATCGAGTTTCAACCCCCTGCTATGTACAGGGTCGCCAACCAGCAAACCAGGCTGCCCAAAGCCACATCCAGCCTGGCCTTGAATGCCTCCAGGGAAGGGGCATCCACAACCTCCTTGGGCAACCTGTTCCAATGTGTCACCACCTTCTGGGTGAAGAACTTCCTCCTAATATCTAATCTAAACCTCCCCTGTCTCAGTTTAAAGCCATTCCTTCTCCCTTGTCCTGTCACTATCCACCTTTGTAAACAGCCGTTTCCCCTCTTGTTTATACATTCCCTTCAAGGCCACAGTGAGGTCTCCCTGGAGCTTTCTCTTCTCCAAGGTAAACAATCCCAGTTCCCTCAACCTTTCTTCATAGGAGAGGTGCTCCAGCTCTCTGATCATCTTAGTGGCCCTCTTCTGGATCTGCTCCAAGAGCTCCACATCATTCCTGTACGGGGGGCTCCAGGCCTGGATGCAGTACTCCAGATGGGGCATCACAAGAGCCGAGTAGAGGGTACAGTCACTTCCCTCTCCCTGCTGGCCACCCCTTTTTTAATGCAGCCCAGCTCAGTGTCCTGAAATATCTATGAAAATAGAATAGCATTTAAAAGAAAATTAGAGAGCCAAGGGGAATTTTTACCCACTAAGATGTGTGTATTATGACACAGTCTATTAAAATTAAGGTACCTTCTTTATCGTATGTCAAAGTTAGTATTTCAGTGGTCTTTCACAGTGTTTTTCTTTTTTCTTTTTTTCTTTTTTCTTTTTTTCTTTTTTCTTTTTTTCTTTTTGTAGTAAATGCATTGCAGAAAATAGTTCATTTTAAATTATGAGATAGTGATTCCAGGTGAATCTTTTTATTTCAATAATGAACACTTCAGACATTTTCTCTCTAATGTGGCCCACTCAAAATCATATTCTGGCATATCTGTTGCTCAGTTGTCAAATCACCCGATCTCCAACATTCCCATGTGTAGCAAGGAATGCTTTTAGCTCAGTTCTGTGACTTTTCCAGCTTCTAAATATGGTACAGCTTTGCCTATACCAGGAGTTTGCAAAATCACCTGGTTGCAAATAGAAATCAAGTTTTCTTATGGCTGTCAAGTGAATTTTGCATAACAATTACAAACTCAGCTTACTCATCTGTCTGCTGTTTTGTCTTGATTTTTAGACATCCAGCTAAGATGTAAACAGACTGGTGCTAAGTTTCTTGTTTATTTTAGATATTGCATGTTGCTTTGATGCCAGTCGGAGAAGGAAGATCTTACCTCTGATCTAGTTTCTGATATTTGCAGCTGTTATGGAGTGATGTGCAGAAGCTGGTGGGAAAGAAGATTTGGTGAAGAGCTTCAGCACCAGCAAGAATGAAAGGATCAAATACTAGCTAAAGGTTGCCTGTTCCTGCCCCTACCATTCTGTTCCTCACCCAAGGTATTGCGATTATGGTGCCAGTTAGCCGCACTGTCTCCCAACAGCATCTGTATCTTTCACTATTTTCTCCAGTTGCTGCCTCTGGCAAATGCCCATTCCTAATAGTCAGTTCTTCAGTGCTGGTGGGCCTGAAGACCTCCATAAGTACCTTCAAGAAACAGTTTCCATCTGGCATTGTATCCCAGAATACACAACTGCTACTGTAACCTGTATTTATATCTTTCCTTTCTACCAAGCTTATTTCCCCTTCATTTTTCTACATGCATCTTTGTCATCACCGAACTAGTGCGTAACATGCGCTGTTGTTCTGATTTCTTTCTCTCTTCAAGATCTGTGAGGTGGTATGTGGCTATTGATCATGCTAAGATTTTGGTACGTGGCTATTATGCAGGCTAAGACTGGCCTTCTTTGCTTTAGTGTTATTCTACTGATTCCCAGAAGTATTTCATGAAGCTATGGGCATTAAGTTCAATGTTTTATTAAGAACATAGTAAGTTTTAAGTTTTGTGAAGAAAGGCATGTGCTTTTTTTTTTTGTTATCAAGTTCTACCTGAACTGTGCAGGCCAATACTCAGTTATTTTTAAGCTCTGGTAGACTTGTTTATTTCTAGTAAGCATCTTTGATGCTTCAATTTAAATTGAATAAGTGGCAGAGAATCCATTAGTTCCTTAAATCATCTGTTTCGATAGCTTGTTCTTTTAGCACTTCACATTTATAGGTGTAGGTTTTCCTTTTCCTTTCTCATAAGATCAGTTTGTCTAGATTAAACTCCTAGGCCTTAGATTATGACAGGGCTTTGTTTGCAAATGTAATAAACAATTTATCATCAGGAATCCTTTATTTTTCATATAAAGTTATTGTATCTTGCTAACATTTGTAGACAGTTCTTTTATGGTATCACTTCCTCTTTACGCTTTAAGTGAGATTTACTTTCACTTTTTGAAATCAGGTTTTTGCAAGAGCTATCAATAGATTATTAACTTATTACTCTGGAGAAAGATTATGCTTGATGTTTGAATTTTTAATAATTTGATCTTGGCTGTGGCTATATTAGACTAGACTTGTATGGTGTTAATAAAGTAAGCAAACAAGAACAAATAAACCTTTCTTTTTATGTAGTTGTGCTGTTCATTTAGTAAGATAACTACCTTAGAAAGGTATTTGGTTAGTTAATAGAAGGGAAAGGTAGTTTTTTTTACCTTGCTATGTTTCTGGTTAATGTATTATTTTAGTAGTTAAAAAGGGATTGTAAAACCGAATACTGCTTTATTCATTGCATATTAAAATGAGTCTCTCTATATAATTTTCTTAGAGGAGCCCATCATTGCAACGATTTACTCTCTTCTCTCTCCGAAAGAAAAATCCCAGTTACTTTTAATGTAGGCATTTGAGAGAGAACCTTGAAGGCATTTGGAAACTAAGCTGTGTTTCTCTTTTTAAGATACAATCCTCTTTTTTGCTTAAAATTGTATCAGTGGCTGCCTACATGAAATGTTTCGATTGTTGATGTCTTGTCTACCTTTAAAAAGTTTAACTTTGGTTAATTCTAAATTCCCCTTGAACTGTTTCAGGAACAATGTCCTATGTATACTTTCTGCTTAAAAATCCTGCGCTGCTGGTATTTCCTCCTGCCAGGGAGTTTTCTGTGCTGAAATCAGAAATTATAGTATATGAAGGCTTCATTACTGAATAAATCTGCACTTGCAATGAAATTCAAATGGGTGGTGAATTCCATTAAGAAAATGTTTAATTAGAGAATAATCTGCTGATTGTATAATAATCTGCTCATCTCACACAAAATTATAAGGGAGTATACAAAGGGAAAATCACACAGATTACTTGGAGGAATCCATAGACATATACAATTAGGCTTTTATGGAAGCAGTAGTAAAGCTGAAGGTATGGATGTAAGAATAAATAAGACTTGTGATTATGTTTGCTTATTTTCTATAATCCATATAAATAGAAATTAAGAAAGAAAAAAAGGAGTAACTTTACACAATAATGAACATACATTCAGTGTACATACAGAATACTACAAAATGTATGTCTACATTCTAGAAAAGGCATTAGAAAAGGAAGTGGCTAAAAGTGTGACTTGACATTGATTCATGCTGCAAGGAAGAATGTAAGATTGGAAAAGAACAAATTTGTGCAATTCCTTATGGACTGCATCTGTTACCTATTTTAGGTAACGATGATGTTGTGATATGACTGTTCCAAATATAATGGATTCTAATGGAAGTTGGGTTACAAAGTAGATAATGGTTGTGATGATCAGAATAATGTGCAGGTATTATTTTACTTGTGATACCAGACTGGTAGAGTAGGCCTAAGTATAATGACACCAAGTGGAAAGGATTAATAATAAGAACTTCTGTTTATAGGATGGGAACTCATCAATTTGAAGAGGTATACGTGCAGAAAGATTTGGAGCTTTCATGATTGAGGACTGCTAAAGTAAAGTGGCCATGAAAAAGACAAATCCAGGCCTGGGATGCATCAGACAGAGGAAGTCCAAGAGAAAAATGCAAGTATTTGTTTCATGCGAGATACTGGCAGTATCTTATTTGTTGTGTATACAGTTCTGATTCTATATATTATGAAAAGACTTAATCTGAATGGGAGTTTGTCCAAGACATGGAAAATTTGTAAATCTCCTGTGGTGAAGTGCTTGTCCTATTCAAAATAGCACATAAATCTGAGAAAGATTATGGCTGCTTTCTGTAGATGCACTTTTGGGTACAGAACAAACACAGACTAAGCTCTCTAATCAAAATTTATACGCGTGCAAGAAAACAAGTATAGATTCACAATGTATAAATTTAGTTAGAAAATTAAAGAAGGTCATAAAGCATTGTAAGTAGGAGTTTTGCACCAGTATTCCAGTAGTGAATGGGGTAAGGAAAACCAGTTGTGGGTGTGGTTTTTTGGTGCTTTGTTTTGTTTGTTTTTGAAACTTAATTAATGAACAGGCTTTTGTGGCCTGTAGTTACATGAAATATTAAGATGTAGATTTTGAAGAAGTCTTTTCTAAGCCCGTAATACTTGCTACCTATTTGCTTATTTGTATCAAAAACTAGCATCATTTTCATCTTAAAATAATTATTACTTTAGTGTCCAGTCCTTTGTCAGAGGCTGTGCCATCACACATAGTCACACGGGAGTTAGAATTTGCAGTTTTCTTCCTAAGAGCTGAGCAATGTGCTTGACTTAGAGTGCTTTCCAAAGGAGACAATTTAGTTGGTGGAATTGTGTCTTAAGTGAAATTAACAGTGATGAGAGAGTACAATCTAAGTTGCATGTAGAGAAAATGTATCATGCTTTTTGAGTGTTTCACATTTAGTGATCAAAAAGTCAATGTTATACCCCTTAATAGTGGAGTGAGTTTCATATTTCATGCTGTGAAAAATAATTGTAGATAATGTATATGCCATTAAATATAAATGCTGTATGTATTAGCTATAATGATGTGAGAATTCTGCTTCATGAATGGCTTTTTCTTTCTTTTCAGCTTATGCAAGGTACACTTGAATACAGTGGATAGTTGAGCTAAAAGTGCTTGGTTAGCTTGCTTAGAACCAAGTTTGAAATATCTTAAACTACATTGCCAAGAAAAACATAATGCTTTTCTGGGGCCATAATTCTGGCCAGCAAGCAAAAACAAGCAGGAAATCTCCACTCTCTCACTGAATTTGTTATTAAAAGCATGTTGCAAGTAGTAAGCTAATGAAGACCTTATTTAAATCATGGAAGTTTCTAATGTTAAGTATGTCCTTAATCTGTAAATAACCACAAGACGTTAATGAAAAAAGATATACTATGCACCCATAGTTAATCCTTTCGCTGTAACAAAAGTACTTAAACTTGTATGCATGTTTTCCTTCTGATGATTATGGAGATACACACCAGTCTCTCATTTTTCTCTCACAGAAATCAGTTTAAGTAAGTTTGCATTCTCTTTACCGTTTCCTCTGGGTCACTTTGTAAACACTGCATTCACTCCTGTGAAGTAGTAGTTTTTAGAAAAACCTTTCCTTTTAGTTTGACCACAAAACATTTTCTATACTTATAATGAATTGCGGCTTACATGTGTAGTATGAACAATTTGATTTTTAAGGCATTAAAGCAGACACTTATTCTTAGGTAAATATTCTATCTTCTTTTTAATGGAGTCTAAATAGATTTGTGACTCTAACAGGTTTTTTTTTATGATGTGCATTTAGCAGTAAATAAATTTTAATGTGACTTTTTTTCTTACAGCTTTCATTTCCTATCAATTGGTGCATTAATGAATGTGTTTTCCTAATGATTTATAATAATAAATACTTATCAAAATTTTTTGTTTCATTAACTGCTGATACGCTTTATGTTGGCTTCTTATAATAGATTTACATGAGTAAATTAAACCTTAGAAATAGCTTACTGTAGGTGATACTTTACTTTCAGTTTAACATTCACTTCAAGTTTTTGTGGTGTAAATGTAAGAAGAGCCATTTACCACTTAGAACTTTAACTTCAGTCCACAGGGGCTTTATAATTTAACTGCTCCTGCTGGTAGCTGATTTGACTCTAAGCTTGCTTTGCTCCTCATTGAGTTCTGAGTATGGCTTGTATTCTTTTATTATTATTATTATTTTATTCTACAAGTTTAAAAAAAAAATAATATAATATAAAGCTATCTTAGAGATCTGTAGAAGATGGCTTGCTGTTAAAACATGGAATTCTGACCTTGCTTTCAAAGAAAGCAGATCAGGTCATGCTTCATAATGTCAAAAAAGCATGGAAAGGCCTGAGAGATGTACTACCGATCTTTTCCATTTCCATCCTGCATGCCATCTTACTAGTCTTAAGTGGAATTCTCGTGTCTCTTTCAAACCTATAAAACAGAAGCTCTCCTACAAAATACCATAGAAAATTTTCAGCACTTTAAATTAATTTTTACCTTTGATTTTTTCCTACCTGGAAGTAAGTCTCAGTGCGTATCTCTTGGATTGAATGAACTTGGAAGTTATTGGGAAATCTTTCCCTAAACTTGAAATGGAATTGAAACAGCAGAAAAAGCTGAATGGAAGGAAAAAAAATTAAGGTGAAGGAATGATTACACAGAAGAATAATTTGGGAGAATGTGGGTGGTGGATAGCATCTCAGAGAAAATTTGGTAGATTTACAAATCTGAGAATTGGAAATAAAGGTAATTTTCAAAATTGAATATAAATGGCATAAGGATAAAAAGGTGGGAGAAATGCTTGTGAACACTTCGGATGTTTCTCTTGATTAAACTTTAGACTTTTCTGGTTCAGTCATTTAATGATAGTTTACCAAGTAGAAAATGAGTTGAGATGATTTTGCATTTTTTTTTACTGGATGCAGTGTTTTTAGATGAGAGATGGCACTTTTTAGGCAATTTCATACTTGCATTCATGTTACTTGTCAAAATGGTTTTGGTAGTTTTAACACAGAAGAAACATCATTTTAAAAATTAAGTTTTTGAGCTCAAGCTAGATTTTCAAGCGTGTGAGTATAATAGTGCCACATGGGCTTGCTTGAAATCTCTCCTCTCTCTTTTTAAGAGTTTATTGTTCTTTGGCAAATGCAGTGGACAGGTGTGGAGAGAAACAGTGTTTGTCTGAATTTTGGCCTTAATTTTAAACGGGCATTTCAGGGGCCACGAAAGGAAGATAGATTGTGTGTCTAGAAACTGTTCACAACAGTCTTTGCCATGCTTAAATTGTGATACAACTGACCTTAGGCCGAAGTACTTAGCAATAGTAAAATATTTTGTTCAAATGGCTACGGTTGTTTAGTTATAGGATAGTATTTATGATAAGATAATGTAAAAGAGAAATCATAAAATTGGGGAAAAAATGGAGGTGAAATTATAATTGAGTAAAAACTCTTTGGTGGTGATAAATGAGGTTGCCAATGGAAAATTCCATGGTTTACCATGGAATTTAAAAAAAAATATATTTTCAGGTCTGAAATGACAGAACTGATAAATATTTTTGCTATAGAAAACAGTGTTATATATGTATGAATATGTGTGTGTGTGTATGCATGTGTATATATAAGTATGGGTGTGTGTGTATATGTACGTATATATGTACTCCTATATAAAGTTACGTTTCTTCTGGTCATTTACAAACCAGAATTGCACATTGTTTACGTGATTTGTTCTTCAACTCAGTGGAAAGTTAAAAGTGCTTTTCTTTTCTGACTTGTCAGAAAGTAATAACGTTTTTGACCATCTACTGAATGTTAATGATAACACATTTAGCTTAATAGCAATCAAATACATTGTTATGTATCAGAATTATAATTTCAGATTTCTTTAAATTCTTTCCACAGAATATAATCCAAGAACAATACAATGTTAATTCTCTCTATGTTCAACTCCATAAGGATCTTCACTAAGGAGTTGCAGTGAGACAAACGCTGAGAAACATTTTCCTTCAGTACAATGTGGTGAAGTGGAGGAACTGAAATTATCCACTTCTGTACAGGCTAAGGACTTAAAATGTGTGTTGCTTTGTGAACAGAAGCAGTTCTGGAGTGAACTGAGCATCTGAAAATGCGGCCATGGACTGGTTCCTGGCGTTGGATTATGCTTATCCTCTTTGCTTGGGGAACTTTACTCTTCTATATTGGTGGACACCTGGTACGAGACAGTGAGCACCCAGATCATTCTAGTCGCGAATTGTCCAAGATACTTGCTAAACTTGAACGTTTAAAGCAACAGAATGAAGACTTAAGGCGGATGGCAGAATCTCTCAGGTAGGATCTAAAGATAAAATTATTAAAAAAAAAAAAAAAATCAGATTTAAATTTTGTTTTAAGCTTCAAATTTAAAAAACGTGGAAGTATTTGAGCCAGTGCTTTAATGGAAAATGTGCCAAAACATTTAAAGAAGTTAAATAATATTGTGCATGTTGTTTTGCTTTAATTTAAAGTTATTTGTCTGAGTGCTGCTGCCACTATAACAGAGTTCTGTACGTGACTGACTCCTCACTGTTGACTTCAAAGAGCTGCAATTGTTGTGATGTTTGAACCAATTAGAAAAGGTAGTGACTTTTGTACATTTGTGTGAAGTGACTGAAAGCTTTCATTTTAAAATGGTGAAAATTTGTACACCTTGTTGAAGGTATGTGTGAACTTGTTGAAGATGAACTGCTTATCACTAATTTTTTTCTTTACTTTGCTGCTAAACCAGTAATGGTACTTGTAGAATTGTGTGATCATTTCTCTTTTCCTTATTATTTGTTGCATTATGAATTGGAACTATTACAGTTCAAAATGTTTTCTTTCATCTTTTCAGACAGAGTGCTCTTGATATAGGTATCTCTTCTTATATCTCTGCATTGTTTTCCCAAAAACTTGTAAAAGGAAGAACTTATTAGGGTAGATGTGATGCCACACTCAGATTGCATCTAGATTGCATGAACATCGCTGCACACAACCTTAAAAGCTTTACTTAATTGCGGGGACAAGTGTGGAGGCAAAACTCAGTACAAAATTTTAGGGAAT